TAATTGTTACTGGAATAACGATGATGCACTCATGTCTGGCCTACTGCCAGGTGCTCTGATAAGGATTCTAGGGGGTCACCTCATTAGTCTTTGCCAGCACTCAGGGTGGCTGCCACCCCATTGGTAAGATGCACGATTAGAAAGTCTTAGGTTGGCATTATGCATGCACATTTGCTCCCCTGCAAATGGAGAGGCATGTTTTCATTTTATCCTCTGTTTTGAAGGATTTTATTTTCACAGGTGTAGAATTCTGAGTTGGCAAATTTTGTCTGTCAGCATTTTAAAGATGTCCCATTGTCTTCTGTCTGCCATTGTTTCTGCTTAGAAGTCAGGGATTTTCTTATCCTTGTTCTTTTGTATGCAAAGTGTCTTTTTTTCCTGCTTATTTCAAGGTTTTCTCTTTATTTTTTTTATCGCCTTAATTATTATGTGCCCAGATATGGCTTTCTTTGTAGTTATCCTGCTGGGATTTTCTGAGATTCTTGGCTCAGTAAGTTGTTTGTTTTTTAAAAAAATCAAATTTGGGGATATTGTCCATTATTGCCTCAAAACTTGCTTATGGTTCTATGTCATTCTCTTCTTCTGTGGTTAAAATTACTTGTGTGTTAGACTGTTTGATATTGTTTCACATGCTCTCTTCATTTTTCTCAATTCTTCCTCCCTCTTCTTCAGATTAGATCATTTCTACTCATGTATCTTCATGTCACTGTCTCTTTTTCTATCAGGTGGCTCCCAACTCCTAACTCCAGCCCCCATAATGGGAGAGTAATGTTTGGTCCTTGGGTCCACATGATCTGAATCCATCCGCCTGTTCCTGCACCCCAGCACCTAGAGTGTGGAATTTCCTGCCTCCCAGGGGACACACCAGTTTCTGCAGCAGTGTCTTCACCCCTCTTCCCCCATTACTATCAATCTTCTGAACTTATTTTCCTTTCTGGGACTCAGCCCTCTCTGGAATTATTTCATGCATTCACTGCTTCATTCACTTATAAATCCACTTCCCATGCTGGAAGGCTCATGAGGCCAGAACATCTCTGCTGCTAGCACACAGTATATATCTGTTGCATAAACAAATAAATTCTTGCATAGATTACTATATGGCAGGGGGTGGCTAACATTCTGTAAAGGGCAGATAGTAAGTATTTTAGGCTTTGTAAGTTACACAGTCTCTTTCATAACTTCTCTGCTTTACCATTGCACTATAAAGAAGCCATGAACAATACAGAAACAAATGGGCATGCTGTGTTCCAATAAAACTTTATTTACAAAAACAGGCAGTGGGCCAAATTTGGCCCACAGACTATAGTTTGCCACCTATGCTTTAAAGTTTTTTTTTTTTTTCCTTTTTGTCTTTTCTCGTGTCCAGCAACGGATCGCAACCCTCAGTGTCGCGCCCGTACCGGACCGGGACCGGCAACGGGATCGCAACCCTCGGTGTTGCGCCCGCACCTCGCTCAGCCAGTGAGTGGGAACCGGTCTGTATGTGGGATCCGAACCCTCAGCGGGAGCGCCGCCACGCTCCCAAGCGGCACACTGTAGCAGTGCGTCACCGGGCCGGCCCCTATGCCCTAAAGTTTTCCTGTGCAAAATAAAAGCTCAAAATATATTACTGCCTCAAAGTCTTCATTGATGGGCCGGCCCCTATGCTTTAAAGTTTTCCTGTGCAAAATAAAAGCTCAAAATATATTACTGCCTCAAAGTCTTCATTGATTACATGAGATAAGAGAAAAACAGAATAAGTACTATAAATAGAGCCAGTGGTGCCGTGTGCATAACAATGGCCTGAAAAAACAATACAAAACCCACAAAAAGTCAAACCAAAACATCCTGTTTACAGAAGAAAAAATTGATTTCAAAGCCAAAGTTATTTCTTGTGGCGCACAACACAGGAAAGTACGTCCCAGGGAAATAACAAAGGTATTGGGGAAACACAGTGTAAACAACACAAGAAGACAGAAGTTCTGCTTCCATGTTGTTTGGACACCTGAGGCCCAGGTGTAAAGTCCACCCAGTACGGGAGCCTCCACACATCATCGCCCTCCTCCCCAACTCACACCCAGCCCCACCATGTGTGACACCAGCTGTTCCTCAGGCTTCCAGTTAGCCTGCTGCATGTCCAGCCCCTGCCAGGCATCTTGCTATGTGCCTGTGAGCTACAGGCCTGCTGTGTGTGTGCTGTGAGCTATAAGCCTGCTGTGTGCGTGGCCCTCTCCTGCCAGTCCTCCAGGTGCTGCCAGACCTCCTGCCCCACCCTGTGACTCCCCTTCCTGCTTCTGACCATGAGTCTCCAGACCAGCTGCTCCTGGTGCAGACAGGTCCACACCTATATCCCTCTGGGAACAAGTCCTTTCTTTGCTCTAGTTTCTGTACATGGACAGATGGAAAGACTGCTCAACAAGCCCTCTAAGCTCTGGGGTGAAAATATGGCAGAATGATCATGTCCCTCTATGGCCCTGGCATCCCCCAGGAAAGTCCTGG